TCATCGTCCATTCTCAAAAAATACCAAATCAAAGTAATATTGTAATGTACTATACCAACAGGTAGTCTTCTAACAGAGAGTAGAGCTTACACACTCTTAAAAAAAACAATGAATTAAACTAACAGGTGTGGCAAATCATTTTTTTAGCTAAAAATGTACTAATACCAGCAACTATAGAGAATACGTTATTTTGACATCACTACCTACTGGTATTACTGCCACAGACACCCTAATTATTGTTTCCATTACTTTCACCACCAGACTTTCTCGCTCAAATTTGTCTGCAATTTTTTTCTTATATTCTTCAATATTACCTGAATTTTGAGTTAATTTTTAGTTTTTACTAAAAAAATTTGGCTATTTTTGTCCCAATCTTCTGAAGGAAAGTACAGACTATAAATAGGACTATTTTGTGAATTTGTGATGAAAAGAGGGAACTGGTGGTGGAACTGTTAATTTAAATTAGAAAAGATTCATATAACAAGCAATGCATGGCACAGTCCCTGTTATCAAATTTAAGATACATAGTTTTGTTTATAGTAATATAGGTGAAATATAAACACGTCATAGATATGGATCCAGGAGCTGATGCTTGATTAGGATTTTTTAACGTTAAAATGACTGACATTCAGTCATCTTGTATCTGATCACCTAATGAGTACTTGTCCATATTGAGAAATATTGCTCTGAAACAGCATTAATTAAAACAAAATGGCCACCAGTCAACCATTTTGAATCGAATAGTCAAACCAATAAATCTGTATATCTATGACATGATGTATAATAAATGTAGTGTATAACAATTGAACATAATCAGTTAAAGCATGTCAGAATCGCATTCATTAAAATAAAATGGCCGCCAGTCAACCATTTTAAATCTGATCTGAAAAACAAAATGAAGTGCATCAGGCGCTCATAATGTACCAAGTTTGAACAAAATCCATTTATAAAAGACCAGAAAAAGCCAGAAATGCCAGATTTTTTGATGATTTTTTTGCACAAAAACGACCATCATTCAGCTAATTTGAATCAGGTCGTCAAACCAATACATCTGTATATCTACGAAATGATGTATAATGAATATATAAAATTTGAACATATTCAGTCAAAGCATGTCAGAGATATGATGCACACATTAAAACAAAATGGCTACCAGTCAGCCATTTTGAATCTGATCTAAAATACAGAATTCATCTGCAAACAGCCGAGAAATGCTTGATTTCGATAATTTTTCAGCACAAAAATGGCCGCTATTCAGCCATCTTGAATCAGATCATGAAACAAATTGATTTGCATATGTATAATAAGTATGATGCATGTGTGAAGTTTGAATGTAAGTGGTCCAGGCATGCCGCATGCACATAGGTCAATCCATAAGTCCTCGTTTTCAGACGGCGTCCAAGCGAGAACTAAAAAACGTACATGTAAGACAGAGACAAGAACAAAACAATTAGTTGCGGATATCAGATGGTTTTTTTAAATTAAATCTTAGAAATTAGATTTATAAATTTTTTGAAGAATTCAAAACATCAAGTAGAATTTAGCATTTAAACACATAGAGTTATGTTGACATAGAACACCTCCAATTTGACTTCACCTGCCCCTTTTTCAATTACATTACAACTTTATTTAACCCATTGAGCACCAAAGTCAACTTTTGTCACCATTCACAAAATTTCTATATACAGTATGTGCATATTAATTAGGTAATTTGCATATCATTAACCATTTGAGCACCAAAGTCAACTTTTGTCACCATTCACAAAATAGTTCTATATACCGTCTGTGCATATTAATTAAGTAATTTGCATACATTAACCCATTGAGCGTCAAAGTCAACTTTTTCTTTTGTCATCAATTACAATCGTAATTTGTTTTAATTTTGTTCACAATTCTTATCAATTTTGTACCCAATAGAATTTGATATCTATTTGGCCCAAAATTATCAAGAATAATTTTTTGTAAAATTATTAAAATAGACACAATGTTGCACATAAATTTTAGGGTGAAAAAAATATGGAACTCAAAAGATTAAAATAAGGTAAACAGGAAAACATTATTTATTCAAGAAATACCATTTAACTCCAATTAATAATCTTATTAATAAGAACATTTAAAGTTTATTTTCAGAAAATTTAAATGAAGGCGGTTTCTCTCATGTATCTTCAGTTATAGGATGTTGTCTGGAAAATCATGATCAGTATCTCAATTGCTTTTGTGTTTAGCAAAAACATGAAAGAACTAGATAAACACAGATGAAACAGCTGTTACAAATACGGTAATGGGGAATTAATATTTGTATTTATAGAACATCTGTGACCAGACAATGGTGGATTGGTGTTACACAGAGTCTTTGTTTTAGTGTGAAAAGACGAAGACAAACAATTCTAATACTAATGAGATTTCCGTTCCCAATTCTTGAAAAATGCTAAAAACTTTCAAAATAACTACTGGTAACTGCTGCTACTTCCAAATACAATACACAAAGACAAGAATTTGACATAGACAGATTTTAAAAATGGTTAAATATAACGACACCTGTTACCCAGGCATTTGTGACAAGAATATGTTAGTGTGGCTGAATCACAAAGTAATTTAAATATCGATATTGACCATTTAAAATATTGATTTCTTTGCTTACTGTTAAGCTAGAATTGTAAAATAAGATGCACATATTGTATGCAAGACAAAAATGTTATTTGCACACGCGAGTTTTAATTTCTACCATGGCAGACTGAATTAAACTCATTATAATATATCCATTGCTATATATCGGGAGAGACAAACATGTGTGAAAGCTGCTAGGTATAGTTCTTTCTAAGCAAATATGGCACTGAGGAACTATGCTATTTTATCCAGAAAAGCTAAGTATTGATTTTGCTAATGTTAAATTATGACAATATTATTGAAAATAAAGTTGAAAAAATGAAGAAATGTTACTGTCTAACATGGAGAGGTCTGATCATCACTGCACGCACATGAGGTTTTAATAGCCTAGAGAAACCGACATAAGGGAAAGAAATGTTGGCAATCATATATCTTAATTAATTATTCAATATAACCAGACCAATCACACTCTATAAGTTGTAGATGAATAGATGATTAGGAAATTGAATGAATAAACACTCATTTAGATACTACCGGGTACTGGTGAAGAATCAATCAAAACAAGTAGTCATAGATTGGTTGGTTGGCATAAAAATATAGTAATAATATTTTACTTGTATTCATTTAAAACATGGCATCAGTTATGTCGTTCGTGAAATTAAAATTTAATAAATAAATAAATAAATAAAAATTGTAATAAATCTTACTCTTTTATACCCAAGTCACGTTCTGAATGGAACCATCACAGCCTCTCGCGATGTTGAGGGACTGGGGTTGAACCTGGTTCTACTGCGATTCCAACACAACGCATTTCTAATAGATTGGTCTTACTGCCGCGGAGGCCATATCAAACAAGTTCAATAATGCACGATGATGTTATGGCTACTTACCTCCCCGAACTGGAGCGCCGATATTAGAACTAACACCACGCCTCCAAAACAAAGAAACGTACCGTACCGGTGCGAAAGACAGGTGTACGTCTGTCGCTGTAATAATTTATAAACTCCTTCCGCTGTCATCGTTATTTGATGTGTTGGGTGAAATAAAACTAAACAGACCAATTGGGTAGAAAAAAAAGGCCAAGATCAGAACACATAACACACTTTCACATGGGGGTAGCCATTTTGGGGAACTGGAATTCTGGGTAGTGACTGGGCGACAAGGAAAAATACCCGCTGTCGATGTAAAACGCCACCTAGCAGTTGTAATGTGCTTTCTGTCGTTTTAGTTTTGTGGCATATTAATATATATTTATTCTAAATTTATAGCTGCCTACTTCACTGATAGAACAAGACATTCTTTGGTTAACTTTGGGTTTAGCTATATATTAAACCAAGTTACTTAATAATTATTGAACCCTTTAAATTCAGTACAGAAGCTCTCATTCTTGCATTTGCAAGATACGTCATAGATGGTAGTACCAAAACTTCATTAATTTTCTTCCCAAACATTTGGGGAAACATCCCCCCCCCTCCCCCAGTTGACTACAGGTGTTGATTGCAATTTAGAAGATAAAAAAAGCAGATTTATTTTTTAAGGAGACAAGTGTAGTATTCAATTGCAAGATTTTATTTTTCAAAAATCACTTTCAGATTATAATTATACCGGTACTTGCACTACTTTTCATTAAGGCAGGGAAGATGCAAGGAGGTTCAACCAAATACTGACACAAAATAGGATGTTTCTTGATGTATGAACTCCAGTAGGGAAATCTATTTTCATGGAGTCTAACCACTCATCCGTAAATATGATACACAGGATAAATGAGGATCTAATAAACGAAGGAGATGGAAATGTAACATAATTGATTCATTTTATTTTCAATAACTTTTAAATTGCAAAAATACATTTAGTACATGTTGTATATCAAAGAAA